ATGCTTGTTTATGGATATATTTTGATCAATCTTGGATTTTTTTTATACTAAGCTATTATTATTTTACTTATAACACACTTTTTTAGTTTCCTCTCAGTAGTAAACCTAGGTACTCGTTAAACCTAATGTTATCTAAATAGATTAATTGAAAATCAATTCTGGCAAAAGGAAATTCGCTTGCATGGCAGGTTTGCTGCGGCGAGGGTATTTTAACATTTCACCATTGTGTAAATTACGTTGTCTGTAAATTGACTGGGAAAAAATAAGCAATACGCATAAATAAAACATTTAACAAACACAAATACGTATGCATTTTATCAACATAAACATGCGTAGACGGTCATAACACGGACGTATTTTTGTATTGGTAACGAAAATGTCTTATAAATATTTTATAAAGCGAGATGCTTGCAGCTTCAGAACTAGTCAACAAACCAGAAAATAAATCAACTTTAGAGAAAATTATATATAAAACTCACATATTTATTAGGATTTATTTTCTATTCTTTTCGTATTCAAAGTCTGATAAAATAGTTTGAAATTCATTAAATGCATTTTAATAAGTGAAAATATACAGGGTGTTTCACGAGAGGTGTCTCAAATTGATTACGGAAAAACGGCTTAACGTACAAGGCTGAAATAAAATAATATCCCGCTAAATCGACCCTAAGGAATAACGTAAAAATATTTTTAACTTTTTCCTAATACAGGGTGTGCCAAAAACTGAGTATCACTAGTTCGAATCTCGGGATCTTCTAGTGTAAACATATGTCATGTTATACAACGTTTTAAAGGTATTTGATAGAGAAACATTTTGGCGAAAACAGAAATTAAATATCTTTTTCCGTTTCAAAATGGCGGCAGTTTTTTTAAGAAATCTATATTTTTTTAATATTTTAAGTTTCCTATACCAATGCATTTATCGCTTCTCCGGTTAGATTTTCTTACTCGTTATGAAATTAGCTTTACTTTGATATGCTAAAAGTAACGGTTATTTAAAATGATACAAATTCCAAAAAAATTTATTTTTGAAAACTTGCGAATGCTCATTGATCAAAATTTTTAAATAGCAACATAAGTCAAGTGGCACATCATTTTATAGGTTTTTAAATTCCTAACAAATTTGTATTTTACATGCATTGTATCTCTTTTAGTTTTTGTTTAAATAACAAAAACCCTGATTTTCCTTTATCAAATGCATGTTATTTGGGTTCAACACTTAAGGCTCCATTTCATTAAGTGTTAAACCACGTCAAACCCAAATAACATGCATTTGATATAGGAAAATTAGGTTTTTTGTTATTTACGCAAAAACTAAAAAAGATACGAAGTAAGTGTAAATTACAAAGTTGTTATGGATTAAAAACCTATAAAATGATGTGCCGTTAGACATATGTTGCTATTTAAAAATTTTGAACAATGAGCATAGCAATGAACAATAGCAAATTTTCAAAAATATATTTTTTTAATTTTTATCATTTCAAATAACCGTTGCTTGTAGCATATCAAAGTAATGCTAATTTCATAACGAGTTGGAAAATCCAACCGGAGAAGCGCTAAATGCATTGTTTTAGGAAACACAGAGTATTAAAAAATATATAGATAAAAAAAAACTGCCGCCATTTTGAAACGGAAAAAGATATTTAATTTCTGTTTTTGCCAAAATGTTTCTCTATTAAATACCTTTAAAACGATGTATAACATGACATATGTTTACTTTTGAAAATTCCTAAATTTGAACTAGTGACCCTAAGTTTTTGGCACACCCTGTATTGGGAAATGTTAAAAATCTTTTTATGTTATTCCTTGGGGTCGATTTAGCGAAAAATAATTTTATTCATCCTTTTACGTTAAGCCGTTTTTCCGTAATCAATTTGAGACACCTCTCGTGAAACACCCTGTATAGTAGTCATAAAGTTAAACAATTTAAGGTGTCGATTGTATAGTAATTTTACGTTATTCATCTTCTGGCTATTTTGGGCTATCTTTTTGAACGGTGGGAATACACTTTTACGCTATGAAGTTCATATTGTAAATCGTCACAATGCAAGGGCAAATAATTATAATAAATGTAAAGGATCCTATGCTGAACCTAAGTAACGAGTATTAAGCATTTGTGAGACTGAATACGTCTCAAAGCTCTATAGGATGTGATTCAATGGACTCGTAATAGCTTCACTGAGCCGCTCTCTAGAGAGAAACGGTTGTTTGTAATGACCAAGGGGATAAGCTGGTGATAAAATGGTTTAGTTTCACAACGATTTCATATTAATCAATTACCATAGGCCTGCGCAGCACAGTGTTATTTAAATTAGTTTTGTATGATAATTATGAAAACTTTACCCTGCAAAATGACTATGCATTATCTTATGAAACATTCAAAATGGAAATTTAGGCTCAGCTTTTTATAGAACATTACTTTTGTATACTTTTAATTTAAATTACCAATTGCATTCTATTTCTCTTCTTTTGATTAAGGACAAACTAATGACTAAAATCCTCATAAATACTTTTAGAAGTAATTTATTCAACCCAGGTAATCTGTTCCGAAACTGTCATATTTTATACTTGGAAATTTTATATACATCGATGATCAGAATTTTAGAAAAAACCAGTTACCAAATGATTGACGCATAGTGGCCTGAAAAGTAGCCAATGAAATTGAATTTAAATTTGGGTTACCAAGGTTAATTGGTGTATTTTTTAGGATGAGGTAAGATGAGTCGTGTATTCCTAATGTTATTTTTTATTAGGATACGATACAACTTAAACCATTTAATTTTTTTTTAATAAGACATCAATAATATGTTACAATTTGCAAAGAGATTCAATGTAATTCTTCTTTCCAATGACAAATCACCATTACCACAATACAGATACAAGAAATGTGTTATTTTCAGTATACAACTGCAGGTACTGTACTAGTAGGGATTTGTAATTAATTGACTTTCAGGGATTTACGTTGCGTTTACTTTACCTAGTTTCCATTTTACAAAGCTGAGGTCTCATCCGATGCCTTAAATGGATTGAAGTTCTAAGTTATAGTTAGTCGGTTTCAGTTAAAAACACGCTGATGGACGTGTTATTTTTCATTTTGACATGAAAATCAATCATTGTCTATGTATAGTGTCATAATGTGTAATGAGTAATTGGTGTGAGTGAATTTGATATCTATATATTTATTTGAAACTGTTTTTCTTTGTCATAGCTAAATTGAGAGAACGGCTGGGCGTAGAAACTCGGTAGAGGTGTCTAAAGAAAGGTCTTGGTCTGTAGATGAGCCATCAAAACAGAAACGTGGTAAATTCCCTTGGGGCTCTGCCCCAGTGGCCTTTGAATTCCCATCCCATGTTATTCTTATGGAGGAAAAACTGGGTTTTTGTCCCAGCTAATTTGAGAGAAAGGCTGGGCGTAGAAACTTGGTAGGGAACTCTAAAGAAAGGTCTTGGTCTATAGATGAGCCATCAAAAGAGGAACGAGGTTAATTCCCTTGGGGCTCTGCCCCAGAAGCCTTTAAAGTTGCCTCTTCAAATTTGTTTACCATATGCATAATTCTACACTACTTTTTAATGAAACAGCTGTTAATATTTAAATTGTGATTTATTGAATTTTTCAAAATGAAGTACAGTATTTGCAATGGATTTTTCTGATTTTAAACTTGATTTTATTCTGCATCGTGTCATGTTTTGCAATATAATGTTCTATTACCAAATCAGTGGAAAATCCTAATATCACAGTAACTCTTAAAATTATTTCTTAAGGAGTTAACTTATATCTATTGTATGGCTTGGATTCTGCCTTTTTTGACCACTTCTTGGAGATTGTACGTAGGTGATATTCTTAGGCGTATTGCATCTGTAGACGAAACTTGGGTTGGTGAAATTATTACAATGGAAAAAAGCGAGAAATCCTGGACAATTTGATATAGGCTAAAAATAAAACCGAATTAACAATATGCTACATTTCTTGAGCAATCATTGAAATAACCGATTTGCAAAAAATGGAAACATAGAAAAAGTCATAGAACAACCAAGTAGAAGAAAAGAAATATTTTTTTTCATTTATAATCGTTATTATAGACAACCTAATGCGGCTATGAGAGGGAAAAATTTGTAGAAACACTAAAAAACAAGATCAGCTTTTTGAGAAAAGATAAGATATTTACAAAAGATTTTGATTATATCTAACTGTTGTGTAGATCGTGAGTATTTCCATAATCTTCGTGAGTCACCTGTAATGCTTCGCAATTGCTCGAATTCGAGCAACAGGTACACTAGTATATATAATTGACTAAGTTGAGGAAGCTGCTTGGTTAAATGTAAGCCACAATTTGCACTGTACAGTACTTGTAAGACATAGTGTTATCCTTGATCGTTTTAATGAACAGTTCAAAAACCCTATTTGTACATATCTAATTAGTAATTTAAATATTCGTGGGTTCATTCTCTCATTACTGTTTGTACATAGAATATTTTTTATTCAGTTTTACATTAAAACTATTTGCTTGAAACACCTTAGTCAGGATTATTTTAAAATTCACTTTTCGAAATTGATTTGGTAAAAACATCTGTAAATCTAAAGTTAATTTGTTTAACATATTTGAAGCAACACTATAATTAGTGTGATTTACAAACAAAAGTCATATTGTGATGGACCTTTTATTTTTCATAGACCTTTTATTTGTATTTTCATACACAACGTTTCGTATTCAGTATATCCCAGTGCATAAAATAACATTTTAACTGAGCGAAATTTGTGTCGCACTGTTGCTATGGGTGGTACCGGCATATTTTTTTTGATTACTAACGTCATAATAAATGTATCGGAATTTATAAAAAATTTATGTCAAATTCCAAAAGCATTCTGTTGCTACATTTTATTACTTCTAATTACTATGATTTTACTAAAGTAAATATAACTTAAGCCTACTCACATGACCTGTGTTAGTTAACGACTACAGACGTTATTTAACATAAAACGTTGATAAAATAAGCAAAAACAATTGTTGAAACATTTACTTTTTTTTGGAGATTTTTTGTACAGTATTGATGGAATTGATTTGTAAAAGGTATAATTTTAACCAGGGAATGAAATGTAGGTAATAGAACCCCCGGTCAGTACAGCGCCCCTGTCACCCGGTCGGGGTTCCTTAAACCCATGGTGTTAAATGCCATGATGGTGGTCTCCAGGCCAATCACGTCTGGGAGGAAGGAGTTCTGCTAGTGCGCCCTAAAAATAAAAGAATAATTAGTTGTTACAAGCAATGCAATTAGTATTTTTAATTTCAGTGAATATCATAAGCATTACAAGAGTATGGCAATGGATGTAAGTTTTATGTTTTATGGAAATAGTCTTAAATGTTTGAAACAAATAAAAAAAATCGTGAACGGTAGACTTTCTCTAGGCATTACATGATTTTGATTGACGTATGCTAGTTATATTGAATTTTAAATTTGATAGCTTTTATGTAATATCACAAACCATTTACATCGTTTGGCCTCATAAATTCAGAACATTCGAGGAATCTGTGTTTATTTTGTATGAACTAATTATTTTGTAAACGTTATCACAACCAAATCCAGCTTTTGAATCATAGACGATGAAAGCTATACCTCATGCATGGTAAGATACAAGCTTTTGAAATAAAATTATTTTTGACTATTGCAAGAATACTTACATCAAGTAATGCAACAAATGCTGCGACAGCTACGAGAAAAGCTGGCGTGAAATACATCTGAAATGAAACATGTTCTGGAAAATTGACGCAACTCCGATTGTAATAAGTGGCAATATTAACACTGATTAGGATGTTTAAGATACGTAATAATATAGGAGGCTATACCTGTAGATGGTACGTCAGGATTTGGGTTTCTTACTAAGGTTACATTTTTAAGCTATACAGTTTATTTAACACAATAACTTTTGTCAATAGATTCATCATTACAGTGGCATTATTATTTATAATGAGTGTAGATCTACTCCAATTTCAAATAATAATTGGCTAAGCTTCAATATGGTACAGTTAATGCCTTAACTATACAGTGCCAGATTACTGTAAAACATGGTCATTATAAGAGTCTTAAAATGTAAAAGACTCAAATATAAGTAAGGGCCTACCAAGAGGGATAGTAGTTAATAATAAGATTTAAGCATACCGACCATTATCAAAGTCAATGACAGTTCAAATGTATAGTTATGTTAGAGTAAATTATATTTCAAACGTAAGTGAGTTTTAATATATAGCAAGTTAATATATGAATTTATACTCCTTTACTTAACGAAAAATATTAAAAAAAATATTTTTTTAAACAAATAATATATGTACTTACATTTACAATTGCTGTAAAGAGATAAGTGTCTCGAAATGCAATTGATACCTTTCCTATTATAGTTCTGCTATTTATTCGCTTTTCTAACGCAATTTTTGTTAACATTCCATTGTTTCCATACTATCGATTGTGATAAAACCGATTGTAAATCTGTGTGTTGTAAAAACGAAGATAGCATGTTATTGGTTACACACATTGTTTGTGACAATAGTCAATTACAATCGTGTTTTTGAATGAGATAAACAGGTAAATTGTATAATTAAAGGTTATAAGATAAAATGATTTATTTTAAAAGCTTCTTGCTGACTAGTTGCATACGGTACTATTTTTTGTAAATACAAATAAAAAAACTTAAAAATGACTTTGTTGATTTTGTTTTCATCATAATTCGATGGATTATAACACTTCAAACTCTCTTAACATCATTTTAACATAAAAAAGTAAATTGCATTTCTTTCAACAAGTAACGCTTAAATTATTCGTGATATTTTGTAGAGGTGTTTTCATTAAAATTGTGTTTTCTTTACACTAACATGACTCGATATTGGATCATTGGACTCGATAATAGTCCATGCACTTCAAATTGTATGAATAACTATTATATCTCTTAGTGATTATATCTACTCCACACTATTATGTTTTTAGCTGTTTTAGAAATGTTTATTGGAGGCCGAAAGCTATGTATTGCTGCTGTCCATGCCAGCTGTCATCGTCAATTTGGACTGAGCAGGGTTTTACATCCCTAGAGCCAAAACATGTTTGCTTATTTACTTAACTAAAAACATTAATGAATATGAAATACTCAAGCAGTGTCCTTATACATTGAAAATTATTTGTTTTATTGTCACCACTGCCTAGGCATGTATTTATTGTTATTTTTGCTAATTCCTAAAAATATTTCACATAACCTTAAAGTTGTGGTTCTGTACTGTTAGTGTGAATTTGTGAGGTACCAAAATTTAAGGGGGGTAAAAGACGTACTGCTAATCAACAAACAAAATAACTTACCAGTTTTCATTAACGATAGCCTACTCCTAGGCCTATGTATTGGCCCTAGCTTCGGCTATGAGCCAAAGAACGTAGGCCTAGATTTATAATCACAGTGAAGTACACAAACACACCTAAAATTGCATATTTATTCATATTAGCACTCCACATTACCAAGTAAAGTTTACCGACCGATTTTACGAATATTTATCACCGACGACGACGACATAACCTAAAACTGGTGTTTGTTGATTGACGATGACAGACGATAACTAGACCGAATCCCCGATCAGCTGTTGGCTAGTTTCCAAAATCACCACCGGAGCGCTTAAGCCGCGGCCAAGGAAATCGGAATTTGAGCCGGACAAGATTATTCGCTGTTTGACCACCAACTAGCTAGCACGAGTTACGAATACGACAACGATATTATTACGAAGGTTAGCTACCATACTAGTTAGGCCCCTTTTACGTTATTTCAGTTTTAACTTACGCATACTTAACTTATTATACCTTTTCGTCTTCTTAAAATTCCGTTTCGAATTATCTAAATTTAATATCTTAACTCCAGTCTTGAACCGCCAGTTCCTGCCTGCCAGTGACTAGCGGTGGCGATCGTTTATTTTATTTTAATTAATTAGTTTCGAAATTACGATTTATCTGTTCGCTTAACAACTAATTAATTATCACGTCCAAATTATATCTCGTTTTCGCCGTTTTAATACCCCGAGATTCGTCGTCTAAGTTCTAAACCCCGTCTTTGGCGGGTGAAAGAATCAAGTCTGGGAGTAGCCTGAGTTGAACAATCAGCTACGAATATTAGTCTCAAATCCATTATAAACTGTATCACGATAAATTCTACGTTCAATTATATTAATTAGGCCCAACGACTCAACGACTCTGTAGGAATTGTTTTACTTACATTCGATATTAGATCAATTACCAACGTCTTTTGATAATTAGTTTACAGTTTAATACGAGCATTTTATCGCATTGGCCCAGATAGAATACTTACCTGCCCTACAGAGTCATTCTAAAAGTTAGGCAAAATTCTCCACCACACGTTAGCGAAGGCTGGGATGATATAGCTCCAACTGGGCGTCTGCAGGATTTCCTGAGCTCTTCTAGGGCTCTGAGCCTTCGATTAAATTTAAATAAATTGATCAGTCAAAGCCGTGACACCTTCGTATCGACCCCTGTATTTTTCTCGGCTCCTTCTGAGCACTCCGGGGAAGAAATTTGAGTGTGTCCGGTTCTAGGGGTAGGCCTAGCCTTGAATTTTGCGTCACAAATCATATTTTTTTATTTGAAAAAACCCCTATAACTAGTGCGATTTACAAATAAAAGTCATGTTGTAAATAATTCATTTTATTTTAATTAAACACAACGTTTCGTATTCAGTATATCCCAGTGCATAAAATAACATGTTAACTGAGCGAGACATGTGTCGCACCGTTGCTATGGGTAGTGCCAGCATGTTTTTTTTTTAATCAACATTATAAATGTATCGGAATTTATGCACAATTAATGTTAACTTCCGAAAGCATTCTGTTGCCACATTTTACTACTAATTACTATTATTTTTACTAAAGTAAATATAACTTAAGCCTACTCACATGACCTGTGTTAATTAACGACGACAGACGTTATGTAACATAAAACGTTGATAAAATAAGCAAAAACAATTGTTGAAACATTTACTTTTGTTTTGAGATTTTTTGTACAGTATTGATGGAATTGATTTGTAAAAGGTATAATCTTAACCAGGGAAGGAAATGTAGGTAATAGAACCCCCGGACAGTACAGCGCCCCTGTCACCCGGTGGGGTCCCTTAAACCCATGGTGTTAAACGCCATCATGGTGTCTCCCAGGCCAAATACGTCTGGGAGGAAGGAGTTCTGCTAGTGCGCCCTAAAAAATAAACAATAATTAGTTGTTACAATGAACTTAGAGAATTTGTCAGTTTGTGAATATCAAAAATATTACAAGAGTATGAAAATGAAATGATTTATTGAAACTCAAAACAATACAAAAATTAAAGAGTATTCGTTGAATTAGATATATTGAAAATCTGTACATTCTATGAGTAAAATTATTTTAATCTCTTTTCTTTGTTAAATACAAGTTTTTTTTATGGAAATATTATTAAATGTTTGAAACAAATAAATAAAATCGTAAACGGTAGAATTTTCTAGCCGGCATGACTTTGATTTAGGTATACTAGTTATATTTGCGTCATGCATTTGTTAGCTTTATGTTATTTCACAAACCATTCACATCGTTTGTCCACATTAACTAATATCATACAAAAATGTGTATGTAATAATTATTTTGTAATTTTTATTACATCCAAATCAAGCTTTTAAATCAACGACGATGAAAAGTTATGCTACGTGCATGATAAGATACAAGTTTTTGAAATATAATTATATTTGACTATTGCAAGAATACTTACATCAAGTAATACAGCGAATGCGGCGACAGCTACGAGAAAAGCGGGCGTGAAATTCATCTGAAATGAAACATGTTCTGGAAAATCTACACAACTCCGAATGACTATGATGTTTAAAGTACGTAATAATATAGGAGGCTATACCTGTAGACGGTACGTCAGGATCTGGGTTTCTTACTAAGGTTACATTTCATTCCATTTTTAAGCTATACAGTTTATTTAACACAATAACTTTTGTCAATAGATTCATCATAACAGTGGCATAATTATTTATAATGAGTGTAGATCTACTCCAGTTTCAAATAATAATTGGCTAAGCTTCAATATGGTACAGTTAATGCCTTAACTATACAGTGCCAGATTACTGTAAAACATGGTCATTTTAAGAGTCTTAAAATATAAAAGACTCAAATATAAGTAAGGGCCTACCAAGAGGGATAGTAGTTAATAATAAGATTTAAGCATACCGACTATTATCAAAGTCAATGACAGTCCAAATATGTAGTTATGTTACAGTAAATTACATTTCATACATAGAAGTTAGTTATAAGTTAGTTACATACAAGTGAGTTTTAAAGTTAATATTTGAATTTATCCTCCTTTACTTAACGAAAAATATTAAAAAAAATATTGTTTTAAACAAATTATATATGTACTTACATTTGCAATTGCTGTAAAGAGATAAGTGTCTCTAAATGCAATTAATATCTTTCCTATTATAGTTCTGATATTTATTCGCTTTTCTAACGCAATTTTTGTTAACATTCCATTGTTTCCATACTATCGATTGTGATAAAACCGATTGTAAATCTGTGTGTTGTAAAAACGAAGATAGCATGTTATTGGTTACACACATTGTTTGTGACAATAGTAAATTACAATCGTGCTTTTGAATGAGATAAACAGGTAAATTGTATAATCAAAGGTTATAAGATAAAATGATTTTTTTTTCAAAGCTTCTTGCTGACTAGTTGCATACTATTTTTCATAATTCAATGGATCATAACGCTTCAAACTCTCTTAACATCATTTGAACATAAAAAAGTAAATTGCATTTCTTTCAACAAGTAACGCTTAAATTATTCGTGATATTATGTGGAGGTGTTTTCATTAAAATTGTGTTTTCTTTGCACTAACAGGACTCGATATTTGGAGTGTCATTGGACTCGATAATAGTCCATGCACTTCAAATCGTATAATTAACTATTATATCTCTTAGTGATTATATTTACACCACACTATTATGTTTTTAGCTGTTTTAGAAATGTTTATTGGAGGCCGAAAGCTATGTATTGCTGCTGTCCATGCCAGCTGTCATCGGCAATTGGGACTGAGCAGGGTTTTACATCCCTAGAGCCAAAATATAATTGCTTATTTACTTAACTAAAAACATTAATGAATATGAAATACTCAAGCAGTGTCCTTATACATTGAAAATTATTTGTTTTATTGTCACCACTGCCTAGGCATGTATTTATTGTTATTTTTGCTAATTCCTAAAAATATTTCACATAACCTTAAAGTTGTGGTTCTGTCAACTGTAAGTGTGAATTTGTGAGGTACCAAAATTTAAGGGGGGTAAAAGACGTACTGCTAATCAACAAACATAATAACTTACCAGTTTTCATTAACGATAGCCTACTCCTAGGCCTATGTATTGGCCCTAGCTTCGGCTATCAAAATCAAAATCAAAAGTTCTTTATTGCCGTATAAAACACAGTAACATGCATGGCTTGAGTCACATTATTCAAATACAATACGAGAAATAAAATACAACATTCACATAAGTAACAAACCTCTTTACCACCTATTTTTAACATAATTTTCTACAGAGTAAAAACGTTTTTCGATTAGAAATATTTTAATTTTTCGTTTGAATAAGCTGATGTCACTTATTGACTTAAGCTTGTTGGGCAGCGAGTTGAACAACATTATAGCATTGTTCTTATTAGGCTACTTGTTTTTATTACAGTTACGTCTATGAGCCAAAGAACGTAGGCCTAAATTTCTAATCACAGTGAAGTACACGAACACACATACAATTGCATATTTATTCATATTAGCACTCCACATTCCCAAGTAAAGTTTACCAACCGATTTTACGAATATTTATCACCGACGACGACGACATAACCTAAAACTGGTGTTTGTTGATTGACGATGACAGACGATAACTAGACCGAATCCCAGATCAGCTGTTGGCTAGTTTCCAAAATCACCACCGGAGCGCTTAAGCCGCGGCCGAGGAAATTGAGATTTGAGCCGGACAAGATTATTCGCTGTTTGACCACCAACTAGCTAGCACGAGTTACGAATACGACAACGATATTATTACGAAGGTTAGCTACCATACTAGTTAGGCCCCTTTTACGTTATTTCAGTTTTAACTTACGCATACTTAACTTATTATACCTTTTCGTCTTCTTAAAATTCCGTTTCGAATTATCTAAATTTAATATCTTAACTCCAGTCTTGAACCGCCAGTTCCTGCCTGCCAGTGACTAGCGGTGGCGATCGTTTATTTTATTTTAATTAATTAGTTTCAAAATTACGATTTATCCGTTCGCTTAACAACTAATTAATTATCACGTCCAAATTATATCTCGTTTTCGCCGTTTTAATACCCCGAGATTCGTCGTCTAAGTTCTAAACCCCGTCTTTGGCGGGTGAAAGAATCAAATCTGGGAGTAGGCTGAGTTGAACAATCAGCTACGAATATTAGTATCAAATCCATTATAAACTGTATCACGATAAATTCTACGTTCAATTATATTAATTAGGCCCAACGACTCTGTAGGAATTGTTTTACTTACATTCGATATTAGATCAATTACCAACGTCTTTAGATAATTAGTTTACAGTTTAATACGAGCATTTTATCGCATTGGCCCAGATAGAATACTTACCTGCCCTACAGAGTCATTCCAAAAGTTAGGCGAAATTCTCCACCACACGTTAGCGAAGGCTGGGATGATGTAGCTTCAACTGGGCTTCTGCAGGATTTCGTGAGCACTTCTAGGGCTCTGAGCCTTCGATTAAATTTAAAAAACTAAGCGTGTGACTAGCTAATAGGTCTTCGTCAGCAAACAGCTGTGGCCTTAATGTTCTTCTAGAAGATAAAGTAGTGACCTCGTCCCAGACTGTAAAGTTTCTTGGTGTGATACTGGACGAAAATCTGAAATTTCAGCATCATATTAAAAGTGTAACCAGTAAAGTTTCCACTGGGATTTTTGTTCTACGAACTCTGAAACAAAAGGCTGGTAATGAGGTGCTTCTGTCCGCATACTATGGCATAGTTTTCCCATATCTATTATATGCTGTATCCGTCTGGGGAAGTGAAAACCAAAGAACTTTGCTATTGTTTCGTCTCCAAAAAAAGGCCCTAAGAGTAATCTTCTCCCTTTCAAAAAAACAATCGTGTAGAGAAATCTTTAGGCAGTACAACATTCTAACATTTCCTTCTTTGTACATATTGGAGACACTATCGTTCGTTAAAAAGAATCTTGACATGTTTGATGTTGTTTCCTGTCACAGTTACTCACTCCGAAATACTCACAACATTCCCATCCCCAAACACTCCACTTCATTCTTCCAACATCATTTCCAGTACAACGCTACACAGCTGTACAACAGCCTCCCTCTGGCGTTGAAGACCGAGCAGGATCACCAGACTTTTAAGAGGGTGGTGAAGAGATTGCTCTTAAATAAAGTATTTTACAGTGTCCGGGATTTTTTGGATTTTTTGGCTGGTAGTCACAACTTGTAAATAGTCTTACAAATTTTAAATACCTAAGAAGTTGTGTATTTTAGTTTTACTCCAGTTCATTTTTAGTTTATTTTGACATAGCTAACACTAATTGTAATTGGTTGATTTGGCAAAATAAATGAAATGAAATGAAATGAAATAAATTGATCAGTCAAAGCCGTGACACCTTCGTATCGACCCCTGGATTTTTCTCGGCTCCTTCTGAGCACTCCGGGGAAGAAATTTGAGTGTGGCCGGTTCTAGGGGTAGGCCTAGCCTGACTTAGGTGAATATTAGTTTATTCCCCCCCTTGAATTTTGCGTCACAAATCATATTTTTTTTATTTGAAAAAAAAACACTGTAACTAGTGCGATTTACAAATTAAAGTCATGTTGTGATAAATCATTTTATTTTTATTTTAAATCACAACGTTTCGTCTTCAGTTTATCCCAGTACATAAAATAACATGTAAACTGAGCGATACTTGTGTCGCCCAGTTCCTATGGGTAGTGCCAGCATGTTTTTTTTTTTAATCAACATTATAAATGTATCGGAATTTATGCACAATATGTTAACTTCCGAAAGCATTCTGTTGCCAAATTTTATTACTTCTAATTACTATGATTTTTACCAAAGTAAATATAACTTAAGCCTAGTCACATGCCCTGCATTAATTAACGACGGCGGACGTTAGTTAACATAAAACGTTGATAAAATAAGCAAGAGTTTTGTTTAAACATATATTTTTTGTTTAAGATTTTCTGTACAGTATTGATGGAATTGATTTGTAAAAGGTATAATCTTAACCAGGGAATGAAATGTAGGTAATAGAAACCCCCGGTCAGTACAGCGCCGCTGTCACCCGGAAGGAATTCCTTAAACCCATGGTGTTAAATGCCATGATGGTGGTCTCCAGGCCAATCATGTCTGGGAGGATGGAAGTAAAGTTCTGCTAGTGCGCCCTAAAAATAAAAGAATAATTAGTTGTTACAAGCAATGCGATTAGTATTTTTAATTTTAGTGAATATCATAAGCATTACAAGAGTATGACAATGGATGTAAGTTTTATGTTTTATAGAAATAGTCTTAAATGTTTAAAACAAATAAAAAAAATCGTGAACGGTAGACTTTCTCTATGCATTACATGACTTTGTTTGACGTATACTAGTTATATTTGCATTTTAAATTTGATAGCTTTTATGTAATATCACAAACCATTCACATCGTTTGACCTCATTAATTCAAAACATTCAAGAAATCTTGTTTATTTTGTATGAACTAATTATTTTGTAAACGTTATCACAACCAAACCAAGCCTTTAATCATAGACGATGAAAGCTATACCACATACAAGGTAAGATACAAGCTTTTGAAATAAAATTATTTTTGACTATTGCAAGAATACTTACATCAAGTAATACAGCGAATGCTGCGACAGCTACGAGAAAAGTGAACAACATCTGAAATGAAACATTTTTTTCTGAAAAATTTACACAACTCCGAATGTAATAAGTGTCAATAATAACACTGATTATGATGTTAACAAAATACTTATAAATATGCAGGGTGTCCCTTAAGTAAACGGCAAAACTCCAGGGTAGAATAAGGCAGGAACTAGTCAGGTTTGCCCCATTTTACAATTAAAAATCGTAATATTTAAGCGATTTCTTAGTTATCTTTTTTAACTTGGTAGAGAATTACACATGCAAAAAAAAGTGTTCTTGACATTCGTTTATAAAACTAGCCGTTTTTGAGTATTTTAAGTTTAAAAAATAAATGGCCGCCATTTTGAATTTTTTAATTGTAACAAGATGATTTTTTTCATAAAATAGGTATTTTTTTAACCTTAACCTAGGCTACTGCCAAATTTTATAAAGACCGGTAAAAAAATTCAAAATTAAAAATTTTATTAAAAAATACTAAACGGCGAATATCTGGTTAACGAAGCGATTATGAACAAAGTGTTATATATGATTTTCTCTTTTTTTGACCCATATAACCATTTCCCATAGTTTGGCTGTTTACTTACTGGACACCCTATATATTGAGAGAGGCTATACCTGTAGACCGTACGTTAGGATCTGGGTTTCCAAATACGGTTTTCTGTTTATTTAGCTTTAAGGTTAAATCTTTTTAATTCAAATGTTAAGTTATAAAGTTTAATTACCAACATTACTTTTTCCAATAGATTCATCATCATAGTGGCATTATTATTTATACTGGTCGTTCATCAACTCCAATTAAAAATAATAACGGGCAAAGTTGCAAAGATGTACGGCTAAAGCCTTAACAATACAGTAGAAGGTTACCTTTTAAAACATCTGCGAACATAAAACATGGTCATTATGAGAGTTTTTAGACATAAAATTAACAAAAATACTCGTAACACGAATAGTTAGAATAGTTATTAATCAGATTTAAAGCATATGGACTATTATCAAAGTCGATGACAGTAAAAAAATATAGTCATGTTAGTGTAACCTACAAACATTTGATATGTAATATGCTTAAACGTTATTACTTGACTTTATCCTCCTATACTTAACGACAAAATATTGTTTTTTAACGTATAATGTACTTACATTTACAATTGATGTAAAGAGATGAGTGCCTCGAAATCAATTGATATCTATCCTATGTTAGTTCTGATATTTATACGTATTCCCAACACTGGTTTTTTTAACGATCCATTGTTCCCATACTATCGGTTAGTAATAAAACTGATTGTAAATCTGCGAGTTGTAAAGGCAAAGAGAGCATATTATTAATTACGTACATTATTTGTGACCATAGGCAATTACGATTGGATATTTGGATGAGATAAACAGTAGAATGAAATAATTAAACGTTATAAAGTAAAATATTTAAATGTTCATTCCTTCTTGATGATTATATAAGTTGCTGAGCTATTTGAGCTTGTTTCAGATACTTATCAGAAAAAAAATTAAGAATGGCGTAGTCGTTCTCAATTTGTTTAATTTTTCATCATTATTCAATGGATCGTAACGCTTGAAACTCTCATAACATAATAAAAAAAAATCCAAGAATATAGAATTTTTTCCAAAAAGTAACAGTTAAATTGTTAGTGACATTATGTGGAGGTGTTTTTATTAAAATGATATTTTCTTTAGTTGAACTTTTCTGCAATTTATGGAAATACATTACAACATATATAGTAAACGGAAAGTAAATAAAAGAAACGTCTTATAACGATTAAGACATATATTTACGCCTTATACTGTTACTCACAAGACGGTTAATATACAAAAAAGGTGGTAAGTGGTGATCGGTTTCGATTGGACACTCCAATCATTATCAGACCCAATAGGCGAATGACAAGAATCTTGAATGGCGTCCCTACTTATACCCTATTGGCTACCGGAAGCACCGGCCAATACATTATTATAAGTACAACTGGAATCAAAATGTATTTGTTCATTAATCAACTTATTTCTATCTTTACAGTTTTCCTTATAAATATACAACAGCGCCATTCAAGATTCTTGTCATTCGCCTATTGGGTCTGATGATGATTGGAGTGTCCAATCGAAATCGATCACCACTTACCACCTTTTTTGTATATTTACCGTCTTGTGAATAACAGTATAAGCGTAAATATATGTTTTAAGTGTTATAAGACGTTTCTTTTATTTACTTTCCGTAAGTTTAATAACACGTACAATGCTGATCAAGAAGTTATTTATATATAGTAAAAAAATACAAAAGTGATTAAAGTAGGTGTAGCACTAAATGAGTTTTTTGCACAATAAACATTGTTTATTATACATTGTACTATTTAATTAGATAATAAAATCTAATTAATAAAAGCTAATCTAGATAATAAAAGCTATAGAGTACCTGTGTGAGAAACTTCTCTCTCGCCGTGATGTCTCTGTCCGCAGCACGAGGCAGGACAAGTTGTTTCACTTTCCTAGAGTCAGACATGAAGTGGGGAGGTGCGTCTTCTCATACTTCGGCCCTACCATGTATAATGCTCTCCCCGATCAAGAATTAAGGGCCAACTCTTTGAACACCTTTAAAAAAGGGTCAAAGGACTATTTTTCGGCTAAAAGTAGTTGTCTAAAGTAAATGTATGTTTTTATTAATTGGTCCTAGTATTGCAGATTCTAATTATTTTAAGTAATGTTTGTTATAGATTTATTATTTTAAGATTGTTAAATAGATTGTTGGTATGGATTATTTTACATTGTTTTCATAGATTCTTTGTTTATTTTGTTTTATAGTTAGTTTTTATGAATAGTTTATTAGTATTAAGGACAAGAGTTGTTTTTAAAAGCAAAAATATTGTATCTGAAAAGCGCTTGCTAAATAAAGACATTATTATTATTATTATTCCTTAGTACCTAATAAAACTAATCTTTAGTTAAAAATAATAAAAAAATTGGTTCCTCTGTGAGTTTTAAGTAACTAAAATTCCTCTTGAGAATTTACTAAAAATGCTGTGAATATAAAATCTGCCATGTTTTAAAAAAATATAGATGGAATCGTTTACCCATTGTCGTTTCTTTAAAAACTATTTCCTTTTGATGGATATCCATTGAAGTTGTCGTAAGAATAGCAACTGTTGCCATTTTAGATATGCTAATATGTCAACTCCGCGTAATATGTCTATATGTAGCATTGGTTACAAAGGTAATGGATAGTGTAAGTGTCAGTTATATTATACTAGCTGTAATCCGCGGGCTTTGCCCCGTTTAACTTCTTAATTTTCAAGATGATCTCGTACCTATAACTCAATCACGTTCTGGTTGATGTTCGTTCGCTACGCTCACTCACCTTTAGGTTGGAGCTCGTTTTCTGCGCTCACTTGCCTTCAGGTTAGCTCGTACGCTACGCTAACTCACCTCCAGGTTGAAGTTCGTTCGTTCGCTACGCTCACTCACCTTTTGGTTGCAAACTAGCTGTTGTCATAAATGTAAAAGAAATAATAGTTCTGCACCCTGTTGGTAATCCTTGTAACTTTAATTCTATTGAACATCATAGAACAGAACCAACTTGTTTAATTGAAACAGCTGTTAAGATTCATTGATTCAATTTCTCGCAAGATTAACATGGGAAACTCCAGAGCCACTGGGGCGGAGCCCAGAGGTCGGAGGGTAAAATCCTTTCTTAGTGAGCGTCTACTACCCAAAATGAAGATGCCTGCCAAGTTTCAGGTTCCTAGGTCTTATGGTTTCTGAGATTTCGTGATGAGTGAGTGAATGAATGAAAGAGTCAGTGGTATTTGAGCTTTATATATATAGATTGTAATACTATCATAAATATTGATATAGCTTTTTAGATATGATTTGCAGTAACTTTACATAAAAACACAAATTTATAAGTCTGTATTAGACTGAAAAAAAAGAATTTATTTTTCATCTGAGGAAAAATTAATAAATATAAAATCCCGTAAAACCTATTTATGAAGGATTTAAATTAAAAATACTTGAATAGTTGAATGAAACAAATTTAAAAGTTTTAATCCAGTTACGTAAGAAAACACGATTACAAGGGACAATTTATTCTTAGGCCGTTGATCCAATTTTGAAGCATCTTGTTTGCAATGTTATCGAGTTACCTTTAGTAGCCGTTTGTCCCAAGGCAATTCTGGTTTTTGTAATTAACATTAAAAATTTTTGGAGAAAATAGATTCAAACGAAATAAGGTGCTATTCATTTTGAGCTTAAATTAAGATATTTGTGTGTATCAAAATACAGAGATTGTATAAAAATACTTCTTAACACACATGGTTAGTATTTCGTGTAAGATGGAGTTTAAAACTAAAGGACAACGTTTTTAACATACTTGTAGGTTAAAGTATGATTTTGAATACACAATTTGTATCACTAACTGCTTTATTATTTTAGTTATCATTATTGAAATTTGTAATTTGAAGATCTTGAAATAGGAAAAGCGTTTTAGGTAAGAATAGGGTGGTTATAGGGATAGTAGCCGACCCCTTTCCGCTCTTATTAGGAAATAAGAGTATTTGCCCCTCAAACATTTAATTTTTGAAGTAAAGTAATAGGTTGAATGTAATTTGTAGTATTTATGCATAATATTTATTTAATATCAATCATATTTCCAATATAAAACTGCGAAATGACCACAGATGAATCATATTATAAATCCATTGAAGTATAAACCCTAGTGAATTATCGACGTGGGCATAGTTTCATAGTGGTCCGTCCAAAATCCACACAACTTAACTTTTACACAAAGTAGACCTGTAAGTCAACTTTGTCGGTTACTGTCGGTCGTGTACCACAAACTGAGTGGCACAAACCTATTGGAGGGTTGGTTGAGATAACACCATGTTGATCTACATCGGCCATATCAATGAATTTACCAGCCATTAGCATTCGAGATTCTTTGTTCTTAGGAGACAGAGTTTTACTACAGTCTACTATAACTACTGCAAGGCGAATTTACCACTGACGATCGCACCAAATGTCTACAGATTTCATTCCGGTAACCTTTTGACTGTTACATGTACAATTCGTAAGTTTACCTAGAGTCATTTAATAAAAATCTGCTTTAAATGCGACTAGTCACAATATTGGACCTACTATAGTTATATAAAACAAATATATTTTTTTGTTATGAATATAATGTGTTCCTAATTAACACATCAATATATCTACAACCAAAACTGTAAGGTCTTGTATTCTTTTAAATCCTCACTGAACCCAGGATCGCAGGAATGTTTAATATTGGGGACATGTTGGTTTAGGATCTTTCCATTAGTCCTTTCTGCATAAGGATGATACGCGAAAAGTCCATGTTTTGTAAGTAGGTTCGTTTACATCCTGTGTTTACTTGCACCACAACACAACACCAGGCAGCACTCTTTTCTCAGAATAAACCAGCGTAATTTTAAGTCTACATTTGTAAGTTTTTGTGAGTTTGAAAAAAAAGCTTTTAACTTGTTGCCGAGTAATATCAAATGTCTGAATTCTAAGTCTTTCAAGAACACCATAGTATCAATGTTATGTAGTTTAGCTGTATACAATGTTGATGAATTGTTAGATCATCTAAGTTCCTTAAAATAGTTTTTAAACTTTTACTTTGACGTTGCTATACATTGTATTATTTGTTTTGGCAATAAATGATTTGATTTGATTTGATTAATTTAGTAAGTTACGTTATTAAGTGGAATTTACTATTTGATCACGTGATTACCTTTTATATGTGTATTAAGCCTATTAATTTATTATACCTAGTATACATAGTAACTAACTGGTACAGCAGTTGTGAAGAGATTGACTTTGGAAGAGATTGAATAATCTTTTTATCGTTAAACAATATTCAATTTTTCATTTACACGTCTAAAAGATGGAAAACGTGTTGTGCTGCGTTAACTTGAATAACCCAATCGCCAACAATATTAAGAACTCCTGAATGAAGAAGACTTTAATATAAATTAAGCATTAATTTACCTTAAAGTTGTGTTATATTTTAGATTAAATTTAAAAAACATTAATTTGAAATCTTCTTAGCCATTACAAAACAATCACCTAATAGCTATTACAATTTAAGCGGGTTGACGACATTGGTCATTTGTTAGTTTCACTTCGTTGGGCATACATCATTATCCTCTTAATTTATATATTCAGGATTTAGAATTTCAATCTAACTCGATGATAGGGCCAATACAAGATAATAGATAGGATATATGAAAACTTATTGAACCATTTTTTAATACTTGGTACCTTGTATCTTAATGTCCACAATATCAGTAAGTCAACTTATTCCACATGAAAACTAAACATTTTATTGCTTATTAACTTTAATCATAAAATTGTACTTTAAAACGATAGTTAAAAGCACATTAACGAGTTTTCAATTGGCTTTTGTCAAATGCTAAGACCATAACTAATGAATACAACGCTATGATTTTCAGTTACATTGTATGGCATTTTACTTCATTTTTATCACCAACGATTAATCACGATAACGATTGGATAATAACGATTGGATAACCTGATTTGTTTTATGACCTTCAAATAAAAGGTATATAAACAGTTGAAATCCCAAAGGATGCATATCAATTTCTACTCTAGCTGCAAGAATCAACTTCAACAGCAAAAAGGTAGAACAAAAAAAAAACAACGAAGTAATTTGTTGTAACACTTCCTTGATAGAATTATTTTAACTAATTTAGTAGTCTAATAGTTAAATGCCTTTATTTGTTTATAATAGGTCTTATAAATTAATTCCAATTGGGTGTCAAAAGAATTTGAAACGGAATTAGGCTTAATGTTAATTACCGACGGCCATTTTAGATAGACATTGATAAAAAGAATACTAATTGTATGTCAAATGACATTTACAATTGCATAAAACATACTAATGAAATGTTGATTAATAATACTTTCAATTATTTGTTTACTTACTAAGAGATTCTATCGACCAAAGACTCTTTGGATATATATTTAATAATACTTAAAAGTTTTGTAAAATTTTGATTTGGTGGGTGATATAACTGAAATTTACCATTGGAAACTTTAACATGTCATTATTTAATTACGGTAAAACCTCTTGATAGATACTTCTAATAAAACAAATTTATAAGTTTAAACAAGTTTCATAAAATATAACACTAAGGGTCCTTGAGACAAAAATTCGAAAACGGTTGGTTACAGACAGCTAATGGAATTTTAAAGAAAGAAAAATGTAAAGGACATTTAGACTTAATTTTGTATATGAAATCTTGTTATGCAGTGCAGGCCACGTATTTTTGTGCCTCCCTGTATGTAATATTACAGGTTTACAATATTATGTATAGGTGTTAAAATTTTCTTCCCATATAAAAAATGGTCATATATTCATGATTTGTTTTAGGAGTATTTCATTAGATTTTCGTCATAATAAAAAAACACATATTGATGATCAAGTTATGACAGTAAAAATACCTTTTTGTAGCTTTTTGTCGTGTTACTACCTTTGCGAAATTTGGTTATGGTGATAAAAATAATATATTGCACTACACATACGCAAATACTGTATAAGGTAACCAAATCAATGGTTATTTGTAGATAAATAAAATAAACCAGCTATTTAACTAAAAGTTTTATTACAGATGACTTTCACATCAGCTGTCATCGTGGCACTTGCTTCTGTTCTGGCATTCGTCGATGTAAGTAAAACTTAAACTAAGTGTAGTACTTCATTTTAGTTTTTTAGTATCTTACGGGAGCAAAGTGGTCTAGTGGTAGAGCGCAGGACTTCGGTCCGTGAGGTCCCGTTTTCAGTTCCCACCAAATCACTAATGGATTTTATATCCAGTAGACTCCATCTTACCCGGACACCTTTTAACCGGACATCGGCTTAACCGGACTACACTCGGCAGAAATGACATCTCTTTAACCGCACAATTTTTATCATCACATTGGTTTAACCGGACTTGATCGGCAGGAAAAGGGCAGTCCTTAACCGACTGTTCTTGTGGGAAATTTTAGACCAGTGATCACGTGTCTAAATACAATGCTCTTCTAAATTAAGTCGAATATCACAAGTAAACAGTCCGTTTTAATGAGTTTTTAGGGCGTTGGTTTAACCGGAAAACCCGTCGTCCGGACTAGACTCGGTCCCGAGGAGTCCGGATACGGGGGAGTCTACAATATGTAAAATTGCCGCAACCCCTAAGACTAGACTGAAGGAATAATAGAAAAAATCCCGGGCTTGTACCTAGCGTCCTAGGACAAAAACACTTATTTATTAATATTTTTCTGATTTTTAGCCTCAGTTCATTTTAGTACAGGTTAAAGTCAGTTTTTGAAATCCTACACTAAGTATAACGATATATGATATACAATGTAGTAAAGTGTTTGAACTGCTGATTAATGAATTTAATTGATGTTACATAAGTATAAAATAGCTTATTTGTGTAAAACAAATCGCCTTGTTTTACACGGGGTTCTCTGATGTTGCATGAAGCAACGCACCACAATCAACATTCGCCATTGCCAAAAAACATATTCTCTCGTCAAATGACTAACAATATTTCAATAATGTCAAATATCCTGCAAATATAAGGATTTAAGTAATATTTTTTTTCTCTGTTCAGTTGACGGTTGCCAAACCTGGCCGATATGAGCATGGCCAAGACCACTCCTCCTGGCGGCACTAGCTACCTCTCTGGCATTGGTCAATGTAAGTATGCAACTTTAAAAACTATGTTATACTAAGATGTCTACAATATATTACAATAGGCTAATATATGATACAACACACTGTATACTGTATATTTTACACTGTTAAGGCCTGTTCACACCGGCGTAGCCCGACGTCTGCAGACGTATTCGGTGTATTAATACGTCGCCCGTGCACTGTTCACACCGCAGCCAAGGCTGACGGCTACGTAGCCGGTGAGCGGGCTGTTGTTTGTTTATTTTATTATATTATTTTATATTTGGTAATTTTATTGTTTATTTTTATTAGCGTTTTATGGATTTCAGTTAAGATTGTCACGGTTCAATTGCAGCTTGTATGTATAGTACCCTGAAAAGTCTGTTGATTAATTAGTTAATGTTGACAAAAATGTTCACTCTAATTTTAGGCCGTATATAGTAGACTATAAGACTTGTGCTATATTATAATATAAAATAAATATTATCAGAAAACATGCAATAATTTTGCTCATCCATGGATTACATGATAAAATATTCTATGGTGTAAGTAAGACCAAAGAAAATAGAACCTAAAGCAGAAGTCTATCTGAGCCATAAAAAGCGTTGCGTTTGAACTGCTAGTGTCTACTCCCAATCCTAGTAGCGCTACTGTCGCTCACTGGCGCGCTACTCCACAAGTGGGGGCGGTGGGAGAGGGGTCTGACGTCACTACACCGCGCTCTCTCGCCCTCCCCCAGTTCTCCTCACGTGTTGACTGTTGATAGCCGAGTGCCGAGCTGCCGCGCGCCGGCCTAGTGATTGTTGCTGTCACCAGTGTTGGCTTGTATTACAACTCAGTTAAAAGTGTGTTTTTGTTTTTAGTTTTTAATTTAATTTAAAATTAGTTTTACTGAAACGCTTTTAATCAGCCATGTTATGTTCACCTCAGTTAATAAGTCTGTTAGCTTTAAATTTTTTTAGTAATTTTGAGTTCGTTTTTTGGATAGTGTGGTTGGTGTGTTATCAGATAGGAATATAAACTATACTTATTCATTTGCAAAACTCTACGTTTATCATCATGTCTTTTACAAAGTGTTCCTACAAAAGTTGTTCGAACAGTTCCGCAAAAGTTAAAGGATTGAAAATGTTTCGGTTCCCAAGAGATAGCTTACTGTCTCAACAGTGGGTTCAACTATCAGGTAAGTAAAACGTGATCACCTAAATTCAATTTTCAAGTATTTTAGTAATGATACTATGGATCCTGGGGATTTGACTTTAGCTATATAGCCTACATCAGCAAAGTAAAATATTTTGACCAAGTTTTAAGTAGCCTGTTCATTTTCACGGTACCATCAGTTTGTACAGAGCGTGTATAAACAGTTGGCCACAGTATGCGTATGTTATAAAAGTAACATACCGTTAAAAACAATAATAAACATGATGCCAAAAATAACTAATAATTACACTGTTTGCTAAGCTACATTATAATATAGCGATGAGTAATATTGGTTTATAGGCCTGCAGTACTAGTTAGTAGTGACCATGTGTATTTGTGTATTTTTGCATTTTTGTGGTACTTTAACTGTAAGTGCGTATACAATACTATAGAGAAGTCAGACTTCAGACTATATTGTCATGGTGGCGGCGTTTTATTTCGTTTGAACCGTGTTTTTCTAGCTACAGCCACTATTATGGCTTTCCAAAAACAGCCCTAACGGTCCTAGGTCGGCTGACAAGGTTGTAAATCCACCCCCTGTCAGGTGGCGTGCCTAGATGGAAGGAATGGCACTTAGAGGTTGCTATGGACAATTCCGTTCTTTTACCTACATTTATTGCAGTTCACTATTTAACAAAAAATAAAAAATTACATTGCAGTATTATATTGATAGGTTGTAATTTATTGTAAATGCTAACATGTACAACAATGCATTAGAATAGTAACAGGAATTTCACGTGCCAATAAATAAATAAAGTCTGGAAAATACTAAGTTAAGGAGATGTTTTATTGTTATCCTTTTTAACTTTTTGGGTGTAACAACTATAGGATCTGTCAATAAACTGTACATTAATTATACTGTATGCCTACTTGTTTTATGTGGTTATCTCGTATCGAAAAAAATATTTTTTTTCCTTCGGTAGGCTTAATGAATTTAACTTGTATGGTTTAATGTACTTTGTCTACAATATCTCCAGCTTTTATTTTTGTTATTTTTATTATTAGTGATTTTACTTAAAAACGCATAAATTAATTGACATAAATATCATATATTTAACAACAACACTACTTAACGGTTTTGATTGTATATTACAGTCATTTTAACATCAAACCAGATGTTCAACCCCCATATTGCTGTTACACTCACAGATTAGAAATTATTGCAATGTTTGTGACTCCCCCCAAAAAATTAGCCTTATGTTTTGATCATGCATTGATGTTTTATGTTATTGTTACAATTAATGTTTTGCTTATAAAAGTAGTAGTTCAATTTCAATATCAAGCTAATAAGGAAAGGTATCTGTGACTTGGATGATGCAATTTATTTTATTTATATTTCAGGCAATGCTGATCTTATCGGACTGTCTCCAATGAAACTGAACAAAAATAGAAGATTATGTGAAAGCCATTTTCAAGAAAAATTCATACTTCCCAGTGGTCGACTTGCATTTAATGCCCTTCCCAACTGCTACACTGCTCCTGATGAGGACACGTCTTCTGGTTCGACTGGAGTTTTATCAGCCAACAGTAGAGGTATAACATTCAATAAACTATATCTTTACATTTTTCTTACTGATTTCACTACGACCTTGCAAATGTATTAACGCATTTACAGAATTTAAGCGGTTTAAGGGAAGAAATCTATCCCCTCCACGTCTTGAGTCTGGTTCAATTAAATCTAATGTATATTTGCTTGTTCACATATAGAATGTCTATTTGGAGTACCTTTCTAAAGTCAATGGTGCTAGCCTATTTCCGGCAACCGTAATTGTTTGATTATTTTGCAGTAAATTATGCTCAACTATATTAATTTGATTAATGTTCTCTTTTGTTCTGTATATATACATGTGACATTTTAAATTATTAGTTGACCAACAGACCAACTCTTTTGTTTACATTTTTATTGTTATCTCGCAAATAATGTCATGGCGACCAATAAACCCTTAAGACCCATGTTCAATTTCTAAAAAATTGAATACACATAGAGGAAAGCTATTTAGTCCAATTTGTAACATTTCGGATTTATACCTTCCCATAATTGGTTACTATGGATGTGCTAAATTTCATGTGGATCGCTTCAGCCGTTTACTTGGAGTATGTGCAAAAAAGCAGGGGTGTAGTATAAGAGTTTCATTTAATTAAGCAGGTAAAAGTGGGGGGGAATTCCCCAAAACCGCCAACATTTTATGAACAGACTATAATACATTAATACTGCGAGAGTTAGGCTTACCGTAGGTGGCACAGTAAGACCTAGGTCTGGGACCCAATTTACTTTTTCATTTTTATGTCCCCAGAGGCCAAAAAGACCATTCGTTCAAATTTGTATGTATGTATTTATATATAGGGTTATATGTGTCCGTGAACGCGATAACTTTGGTTTGAAGGTGTAAGGCGGGATAGACTTGAATGAGTTTGGGAACCATTATGATCGAACTATGGGAACGGGGTTTAGCTAATGTTTTATGGGATAAGCATTTTTATAATTTTTTCCCTTAACACACAAAATTTATCAATATATCTCCAGACCTTTTTAAAGAGCTTAAAGAATTTAGTTTATCAAAGTGTTTTAGTACGGTTATCGGTTACGGAGAATATTCAAAAAATTGTTCATTTTTAATTTCCATGTTATTCTTAAAGAAAATTTTGTAAAATGTTGTAGTTGGCTTGTTTATGGATATATTTTGATCCAACTTACCAGATCCGAAGTTTGCTATTGAAACCTTAGGCGTTTTCTGCTAAAGGTTAGCAAAGCAATACTAATTTACAAAAAACCTATTTACGAAATCCGTTGATAGACAAATGTTACCTACCTTATGTGGCAAAATATGTCAGAGTAACTATTCTGTTATAATATATTCAGTTTATTTCTTCTACTGTATAGCTTGGTTTCAAAATCATTTACTGAATGCAAAGTTTTCTTTACAGAAGCCTTGCCTAGCACCAGTACTGCCCCTGGAATCACAACTCCAGTGAAAACCCCGAGACATCCACCTCCTGCTAATGCTGCTACTACGACAGGAAATTTCATTGGTACGCTACATAACACGTATAAAGAATATTTAATATTTTATATTTCTCTTACCCACCAATTCCACCATGTTTTATTTTTAATTATCTGTAAAAAAATATGCAATTTGTGTAACATTTGGACAGAGCTGAAATATTGCGTATTTACACTCTTTTAAGCTTGTTTATTTGATTAGAATAATTTAAAAGCCTGATTTCATCAGGTTGTGAGAATTGGTGTTTTTATCATTCACAATTGGGGCTTGTTTTAAAATTTAAAAAGTTTCAATCCTAGTTTGTTCTGTAATTTGTATTAATCATCAACAAAATTACAATCCTTAGAGGTAAAGGAACCAATACCAATTCTTGCTAAGAGTTAGCAAGCAATACAGACTTACAAAAAACCTATTTTCCAAATATTTTGATGAATATCACTATTATGGCAAAATATGTAAGAGGAATACCAAAAAACATAATTGCTAAACTTGTACTACTTGGTTTCAATACCATTTACCATAAGCAATTAATATAGCCTATTTGTTTTTGTTACAGAAATACCTAGCACCAGTACTGCCCCAGTAATCATGACTCCAGTTAAAACCCCGAGACGACGTCCACCTCCTGCAGCCACCTCGACAGGGAATATCATAGGTTCGCCTTCAAAAAGACCCCGTTTGATTTCACCCTCACCTTCACCCGTACTATTACGCCAAACCAATTCTCCCAGACGCTATCACAGGCAAGATTTTTCAACACCATTACAATCACCGTTACTGCAAACATCTTTACATTCACCAGTAGTAACAACACCGTCATCAACTTTTTGGATTTCGAATGCATCAACAAAAACAAAACAATCTCCGGACAAGCAGACCAGCCAAGGAGCCAAAAGAAAACTAAACAGAACGTTATTTAGTAACTCATCAAGTAGTCAACCCGATAAAAATATAGAAACTCTACAAAAAAAACTTGCTGTTAAAAGAGCCACTATTTCTAGACTAAGACGGACACTTTCAGAAACAAGAAATAAATTCAAAAGATTCTCAGTTTATAATAAAACTCCAGCAAGAACCAAAGGCGGGGCATTACTAATCGGTATGCAATACCACAAAAGAAGACAACCGTGGTCAAAAAGTGAAAAGCTGTATGCCATATCATTGTACTTGAGATCTCCTTCATGCTACAAGTACTTATTAAAATCAATAGTTTTGCCTGGTGTTTCAACAATTAGGAAGTGGATTTCATCTAAAGAATGTTTCAAGCCTGGATTTAACAACAGACTTATCCAACAAATTAAATGCAAAGCAAGTAGCATGGAGGAGATGGAAAAGTCCTGTGTACTGATGCTTGATGAGATGGCCATAAAGCAATCTTTGGAGTATTGTGCAAGCTATGACTTGGTTGAAGGATATGAAGATTTGGGATGTCTCGGGAGAAACAGTAAAGTTGGAAGGCAGGCATGTGTATTTATGATTAGGGGCCTGTATTACCACTGGAAGATGCCGATTGGCTATTTTATAAGTAGGAATGGTCTTACAGGTTCCCAGACATATAAATTAATCAGGAAATGTGTCAAATGTTTATCAGATGCTGGTCTCCATATAAAAGCAATAGTCTGTGACCAAAACAGCACCAACAGAACTGCTTACAATTTGCTAGGGGTGGCATGTTCACATCCATGGTTTGAATGTGAAGGAGTTAAAATCCACGCTTTGTATGATGTGCCACATTTAATTAAATCCATAAGAAACAACCTCCTCACACATGACTTCTGTTTTAACGGCAACACCATCAGTTTCACCGACATCAAAGAACTATTTACAATAGACCAAAGCAGTACATCAACTAGAGCAGCTCCAAAACTCACCCCTGCCCATATAAATCCCAATAGCTTCCAAAAGATGAGCGTGTCCCTAGCAACACAGGTCCTCAGCCATACCACTGCATCAGCACTGCGGACAGTTGTTGGAACTGGCCAACTGAAATCAAGAACCGCCCTACACACCGCTGATTTCATTGACTTTATCAACTCTTTGTTTGATGTATTGAATAGTAGAGTTGTTAAAACTAAAAATCCCGATACCTGTGCATTGAGCTTAGAGAATGCCCATACTGTAAACATAATTAAGAAAGCGATTAATGTGTTTGAAAACCTCAGTAAACTCAACAGCAAGAACCCCAGACCACCTTGTTTTCCTGGAATCCTTTTAACAGCAAATTCAATTCTATCACTACTCAAACAGGAACCGTACAAATATTTACTGACCAGCAGATTAAACCAGGATACCCTTGAAAACCTATTTTCAAGCATCAGGCAACGAGGCGGGTGGAACAAAAACCCAACTGTCCGGGTATTCCGTAGCTCCCTGAGGTTGTTCTGCATGCAATACTTAATTGAACCCCCTAAAACAACATCCTACGAGCCTGACGTAGACATGGTATTGGACATTGGCGATTCATCCTCCAAAGCTCACAGCCATGAGACAGAAGACCACCCATCCCCTGAACTGAAAGAAGATAGTTTTAGTGATAGAGAAGATGAAGATGAAGATTATGACGGATTGACAGATTTTGATCATGAGAATTTGCCAGTAAATTTAGAAACTTGTTCTCAGCAGTACTACGCTGGATACTTAGCTTGGAATTGTCATAAAAAATTTCAATGTGAAAAGTGTTTGCAGCGCAACTGTGTAGAATCAACCCTCGACAACCCCTCAGAGCTTTTAATTTTCCACAAAACATTTCCGAATATCAACATTCATTCATCTTCCGGATTAAAAGCCCCATCTTCAACATTAACAACCATTGTAACAAAAGCACTAGCTATTTACAAAAAATACTTCAACAAAATTGCCCATAGACCAAGACTTGTAGCTAGACTAATGAACAGAACAAGAACAAGTTTGAAAGACTTTTCTCCCTTGGCAAACTTGAGCCAAGAATGTGATCAGCATGTGACATACCTGCTACAAACATTATTCAGAGTTCTTCTGTATAAACAGTGTAAATGGATCAACGCGTCTCTGAAGAACACATCAATCAGCAAAATGCGAATCCTCCAACATGTATAGTGCTACTGTACTAAGTTAGAAAAACATATGTTTCTTGTTATGTATGACCAGTGGAATTTGAATTTAATTATTCTTTTTTGAATATTTTAATACTCATCCAAACATTTCAATAAGCCTTTCCTGACTTTTTATTTAATTAATTGTATTTGTTATTGTTATTCATCTAAAGGGAAAAATCATAAGTAAACCAGGTTATAGTATGAATTATTATTTAAACTATCTCTTGTACTAGGCATTTATATATTCAATTACGTAAGCCGATTATATGAAAATTAGATACTGAGTACCAACTACATTAAAACAAAATTATATAGGTGTTGTAAAATTTTTTTTTAGGTATATAATTTTTAAACCTCTGGTTTTTTACATTAACAATTGGGTGACTTATTTGCCAGTCATGTCTGCAATAAATAATATTGTAGCCTATAACATACCTAAATCTTAATTTATTGAGATCTATACTTGTACAAACTTTTATCATACTGGACTTTACTACAAGCAACTATATAATTAATCTCTCAAACACTATGTATAATTAGTTATTCCTGAGATTAGTATTGTTACAGTATATTTTTAGTATCAAAGAGACGGTATGAATAATTACTTACTTTAAATTGTTGTGTAACCTAACTTCTTCTTTAAAAAAAAAACAAATGTTGGATAAGAGGTCTAACTTTTTGTAATTTAATTTGTACTAATTTGATTGTCAAAGAGAAGTTAACTGAGTTCTAGCATTATGACATTTAAAAATTATATTTTCATTATACGCTTGAAACCAAACACAGATTGATCGGTTCAATGGTAAACATTATTTAGACTAAACAAAACAGAATTACAAGATAAATAATCTTCCCAGTTTCAACTGAACACTTCAAAAATTCATCAGACTAAATTTTGTTCGTTGACTTTTTTTACTTTCTTAATACTTATTTTCTGTTTTATTTTCATTCAAACATGAAAGTAAAATGTTTGTTAATCAAAACAAAACATGTTTGTCTTATTTAATCTTCTTGTAAGGAATATTCTTGGGGTAATTTACTACCTATCCTAAAATATATAAGTTGTGCAATAAACAGTTTTTTATTAATATTTTCAAAGTAGTTCTTTTTTATTTTTGGTCAAATTTAACATAAAAGATGTTTTTGAATTCATGATACTGTCTAAACTTGTTTAACTACTCAGACTATATTTGATTTGATTTGATCACTCCACATAAAAAAATAGTAATTACATTTTGAATTGTATAAATTTCTGAGGGGTTGTTGAAGATGTAGCTTGAATAGTTTTTAGTAATTTCATTTTACACACTTTCTTCAATCCTAAAATGTAATCCATTACTTTAAAAAGGACAACAGTACAATTTAGTTTACAAATTATATTTGTGCTAAATGCAATCCATATTTATTATAAAGTTTAAATAGCCTATTCAACAGATGTTTGTGACAACCAAAATGTTTGTGTTCATAATTTGTAATTAAAGATTCATTTTTGCTTTAGCCTATTGCATTATTATTACCACTAGCAACTAAGTCCATTGTGGTTAAATACACCTGTCTCTAGGAAAGTAATGGTTATTAAAATTTGCATACAGCAGATTACTCACTAATAATTAATTATTGGTACAGATTAAGCTCATAACCTTGGAAACACACATGAAATAAGAAATACACTTTAATTAACAAACAAAAAACTCAAATAGTGAACAACATGTAAGCAAAGAAAAATCAATGAATTAATATTACTGTACAACAATCAACGATGTTTAATAAAATCATAGTTTTATAATTACCTGTTCAAACAAAATTGGTCCTGTAGAATTGTAAGTTTAGTTGAACAAAGATTTACCAAACAATAATCTCATCTCTAATTCGGCATTTTCTAGCAACTATAAATTTGTAGGTTGCTTAATATTTAAAATTGTAAGGAAATCAACCAAAATGGGACGAAAAATTCTGAAATAGGATAAAATGTCCTACAATTGACTATTGTTTATTTAATGAAAATACTAAATAAAGGCAGCCTAAAGTAGGCTATAAATAAAAACTTTAAAAGCCGTTTTAATGTGTTTTTTAAATCTTACTTTATTTACAAAATATTTTATAAAATCATACTTTTATTATTATTTGCACATTTACACGAATTAGGCTTTCCAACGAACCATTAATTATAAAATGGGTCGATTAGAAGTCGAGATTTAGTCGTACAAACTTTAACAAAAATATCCCCAACTCAGTATTTTGTTCAATATCAGAACTTTTTTTATCAATCTCAGTTGATCATGCAAAATATTACCTAGTAACAACTTATCATCGTGGTCATTAATTATTAAGGAAATAGTTAGTTTACGGTTATTTAAGCTCTTTACTAACCGGCCAGGCAGTTAACTGCCCGGCAACAAAAATAAATACGCGCATCGACATGACACGGAGTACGACGACGAGAGAGGTGCATGGGTTATGAAGAGTGACGTCGTCAAATGCCATTCCTCACTCAGCGATAACGCCCACGAAATCTAGCGGCGACGAATGAAACTACCAGGGACGTTGACCTTGGCGCAGCGCTTCCCCAGACCCGGATAGACTTCTGCTTTAGGTTCTATTTTCTTTGGTAAGACGTAGGGAGTGTAGGAGTTTTGCCAACGGGTATCAGGTAGAAAGGGTCCCCCTCCATGAATTCCACATACTGCGGAGTTTTGACAACGGTTGTGGGTTGAGCGATAGCGATTACACGTGACCGTGAGAGTGGCTTCCACTAGGGGTGGACAAACCAGGCAGGATGCTGACTGTATTCAAAGTAATGGAGTTATGCACCTCTGACTGTGAAAGGAAATGTATTGCATTTTTAACCTAACCTAACCTAACCTAACCCACTGCGACAAGCGCATAATTGCTAAGCGTAGACAACCCTGACAATCGCTCTCCCTCCCTCCGTCGCACTCTTTCTCCCACCACCACCGTTGGCAAATCTCCGCTCCAAGAGGTGGCCGAAGGCATCCCCCCCATCTACCTGACACCCGTTGGCAAAACTCCGGTTCCCAGACGTAGGCCTATGTCTAAAAATAATTCATTAATGTTTCATAAATATCAGCCCACAATATGAACCATAATAGACCATATTAAGAGAGACGACTTTTTTGATAAGGAGATTTACAAGCAAAATATTAGTGAACATTAGGTACTCGTATGATGAAGTATTATTATATTGATCATATAAAGTTTTCTTAAGGTTGTTATGTTATAGTGATTTAATGATTTTTTTAAGTGATTCTTAATTTGTGTGTTATAATCCAACATTCACCGCTTAATAAATTAATTATAAGGTGGAGGGAGGGTAGCGGTGACAGCCCGGTGTGCTAGTGCGCATGCGCGTATTCGGCTATGCGAGCTACGCGTAGCTAGCCGGCGTAGCGGCAGCGCCGTAGCTTCCGTAGCTCACGTATTAATACGCCGGTGTGAACACTCTCTATGAATTACATTAGGAGCTACGTCAGCTACGTATTCCGAAAAAGTATTAATACGTCTGGCTACGCCGGTGTGAACAGTCCTTTATACTACAATATCACGTTTTTGGCGAAAAATGATGTAGAGGAATAAGCTAGTCAGGTTTGTACAACTAAAAATCGTGAAATTTCAGTTATTTATTATTCGATCCTTTTGAACTTGTGTAATTTGAGAAGAAGCTTTACGTTTTAAATGCTAAATGAAAGTGTTCTTGACATTTCTTTCATAAAATCAGCATGTTTTTTAATTTAATAAAAACAGAAAATAAATAAAATAGCCTCAATTTTGAGATTTTGAATTGGGTTAAGATATTTTTTGTAACATGGACCTCATACATACCAAGTTCTATAAAGATTGGTTTGGAACAATTCAAAGAGAAATAATTTAATGTGAAGAATACGAGATGGCGGATACCTGGTTTACGAAGTGATTTTGGATAGAAGAATGTTATTCTTGATTTGATTGTTATTTTGACCCATAGAAACATTTTCCGGAGTTTGGCTGATTACTTATGGGACATTCTTTATATTAGTCTTTAGTATATTTATGAATATTTAAAACATATAAACATCATTCTAATGTTATTCTTGTTTCTGTTTAGCGCAAGACTGACGAACCAAGACCAGAACCTTAAGAACTAACTCAATAAAATTGGATCAATGTTATCTGAAAATGTTTCATGAGGAATTAAAATTAATAAAACATCAAGAACTTATGTTTTTCTTCAACCCTTAAAACTAAGGTGAAGCTTAGTGCTTGTTGATTTACTTTTTGTGATGTGGAAATCCATATATAATCTGAACGTGAAAATGGTTTAAGCTTGTTCTTTTTTACATGCATAATAACGTAAAATGTTTGTTAGGTAGCGTCATTTGGAAGCCTAAAGACATAATCTCAATGATGATTTTAATGATGATTTTTTTCATGTGGGTATAAAAACTGGTTAAATCGAACCAGTTATCTCCGGATTTGAAGATAAGTACCAATACAACCTAAAACCACCTCTATCCATGAACCTAAACCTATTCCTATGTGATTATTGTCTTAACCGCCTCAAGAATGCAGTATCGAGGTGAATTACTACCAAGTGGCGTTTTGACGTCTATTCCCTTTCAAATCAAAGGTTTGTTTTCCTGTGTATGATGATTTGTAGTTTAAAAGTGACAAAGCGAAATTCAATCTTTAGAAAAAAAATCTAAAGAAAACCAAAGAGCTACAAATTCAAATATAAAAAAAAACAAAAAAAAACAGAAATGTTCATCGTAAAACTTACAACTCAAAACACACCAATTTAAAACTTATATCTAAGTTCTTTTAACTTAAGTCTACAATTGACTTTTTGACAAAAATTTTCCTGTTGTTCAGGAAACCATAGAAATCCTGTTGTCCTGTTGTAGGATCCTGTTGTTGTTGCCATAGAAAACCATGCAAGGCTTAGGGAAAAGATCAAATCCATTATTTTGAGCAGAAGGTATGAGTGAGTGTATGGCACTGGTGCTGTGGGCTGTCTCGTGGAATGATTCTATTGGGCTATTTTAATTTCTTTGTTTATGGGTTATATTATGTTACATTGGACTCTAATTTTATTTATCAAAAGGAATAGCTTGTTTATTTGTTAGAGAGGACTTGCTAGACCTAACTTCAAGTCTCTTAATTTCACTAAAAGTCCGATTTACGGAGGTTGGTGAGTCTAAGGGTGTGTTTTAGGCCCTCTTAATCCTTATTCAGTTATGGTCATTCAACGGTCTTAGTGTAAACGTGTGCTGCTTTTGGCATCCAGTCTCTTTGCTATTGAATGATTGTGTCCACAATTCCAGTTAGTATCAGTAATTATGTTGAGTGCAGTATCTACATTTAATTTGGAAAAATATATAAATTTGATTAGCTTTGCCCTCTTTTGTATTTCTTACAAGATTTACAACACTAATTAGCTATGATCAGTCATTCTCATTCCTCTGTGGTCAACTATACTGGGGGTGTCTATGACTCCAACTCTTTCAATCTTGGCTGATTTGCCTCCTATGATGATGTCAAACAATTTTGCCGAGGTTTCTGTCACCCTTGTAGGCTCGTTGTCAATTTGTATGGTGTTAGATTCATTTATCAGCCTACGCAAGTAATTTGTTTCGCAGGTTTGTGACAATATATCAATCTTCGTTTCTCCCAAATAAATGACTGATTTAATTTAAACCGCAAGGTCAATAAAATGGGAGCGAAACAGATCCGAAAGGCGAGTGTACCTAATGTAGGAAGGACGACAAACTACACATATACCAAACGTACTCCCCTTAAAACTCACCACCACACAGAGATGCTCGATACCAGGATTGATGAAGTACAGCTTAAAGTCGATGCCATTTTTTACACACAATGCTACACCTCTTCCTGAGTAACCATCTTAGCGATTCGATCACAAAAAAGCATTGAATATCCTGGTATGGCATAACTGTCTGTAGGTGTTTTTGGAAGGAGCTAGGGATCAGTAACCCCTAAAATGCGATAACTAATGTCATCAAAAATTGAGCAGAGCTCATTGAAGGCTGTGTTTAAAGACCTTATATTGACATGGACCACTTTGAGATTTCCCTTACCCCCCTCACTGTAAGTTTTCCCGAACATGAGAGCCTCTTGACGTATTAGAGATATATTATTATTAGAGAAGAATATTATTAGAGAGGAACATCACACTCTCAATCCCGGTAAGAAGACAAGGAGTTGGGGCAGCTCCTCGGGAGAGACCACTCACACTATCCAACGCTGCAGAAATGTGGTCCACAATCAGTGAACCTAAGCGAGAGGTAATATGTCTGCCACCATAGAAGACGGACATTTTTTCCTTGTTGTATTTATTTCTATATTGTAATACTCTTGTTTACATTCTTTTTACACGATTAATGCCACAAAGTAATTGGCGTGTGCTGTTTTGTAGCACTGGAGAATAAAATAAAATAAAAGAATGAAAACTACCCTATCCTGTTAAAATAACGCTATTAGCAAAGAACTAAATCACCCTATAGTGTGTTTATTCATTATTACCTTCATCGTTGTCGAACAGTATACTTGCAGCTCAAAGATAAATGTTATATCTGTTCTCTGGTGGTAAAAATATTTAGAAGATTTCTTCAACCGTCATAAAATATATAAAGGTGATCGAATAGGAATAATTAATTGCCGTATAGGGTATATTAAAACCAGCCCGTAATGTTAATTAGGCACGCTCAAAAAGACAATAGAGTACACAATTTATGATCTATGCACAGTTAAGTTGAATAATTAAATACTTCGCGAATGGCGAGGATAGGCATAATATATTGTGAGGTAAAATCATTTACTTCTTTTTGTTATAACAAATGTTTGTTGCACAAGTGCATTTCATCCTCCATCGAAAGTTCACACAGTATACTATTCTTATGATACTGTATGATACTGTATGATGTAAATGTTGATTTATAATCAAACGTTGACTCAATAACGCCAACCATAATCTATATCACAGTTTTGGGGAAGATTTTTTTAAAGGAAGTGAAGCTTGGTATAATTGAGACACTACTTTATGGTAGTTTTCCACATATTCTGTATTTCTACAGATAATTAATTTAAGTATGAACACATTGAGGGTAAAAGGTTTAACGATTTAAATGTTGTTATTTAAGTTGTAAATAAACCATATGTCAAAATATATTAGTACACGCTTTAAAATATGATTTTTTCTTAAGAACTTAATGAAGTTCAAAACGAAGAGTTTGTACTTGACATTTAGTCACAACTTGTAAATGTTATTTTAATTTATTAAATACGTTCACATCACAGGTTTGGTTGTAGCTAATCACCCTCTTGCTTAAATCATAGCTATGAATTTCCTGGCTTTTTCTTGAGTAAACTTTAAGATTTCATATAGAATATAAAATATTGGAAAACTCGAAATTAGATTCAGTTGGTTCAGTCAATAGCATAGCCCTCATCACACTTATATCACACAATTATATCATTTATATTATACAGTATAAGTATCATTATATCACAGTTATACTTTCATCTTATCTTAAGCAAACATTTTTATAGCATTGCATTAAAGAAATTTGAAAAGATTTTAGATAAAAATTCGGTCAAAAAAATTAAGTATGAGAGTGTGAAGGATGCAAATATCATACGAATTTATGCCTAAAATTAAAATTACTTTTAATTTGTTTATCACCATGCACGCTTGGTATTCATTTTACTTTTAGATGACATGATTTGACCATTAAATTATTCTTAATGAGTTTTCAATCTCTTAGTTGACTTTGTTTGGGGCTTAATAAAAATCATATTTTTTATATTTTCATGAAGTTTTATTTCTCTTCATTGCGAAACAGGTACATCTTGCAAAACATCAGGTTCAAGAGTGGACAGGTTTGGCAATCGGGAACTAAACAAACACAATAACAATACGTATTAGTTTACAATTAACTTGTAGGTTAGGTTAGTATAGGTTAGGTTAGGTTAGAATAGGTTAGTTTACTATAGGTAAGGTTACGTAAATATAGGTACGAATAGGTTATTTCTTTTATTTACATGAGATAAAAATTATTACATATTTACATGGTAGTTCTCAGACACTTATAAGAATCCATGTTTTTAGTAAATATGAATCTAGATTTATGTTTATTGCCTTATAAACTTTGGAAAAAACGTATGTAAAACCATTCTTTAAAAGATTATCAGTTTTATTTATCACAAAAACATATTTGAAAAACTAATTAACTTAGAAAAAACAGTAGCACTCAAAGGTAGGCACGCTTAGCAGCTATCGTTATATTTAATTATTTCCTATTTTATTGTTGAACTCATAGTATACTTACATCAACTTCAGTAAGAAGACAATAAATATTAAACGTAGTGTTAAAATGGTTTAGTTATATTTCATACTTACGTCGAGAAATGTCAGAGAGTTAGCTAATGGCGCCATTGTGACTTAGGTGGAGGTGTGGCTTCGGCAACCGTGAACTGAAGCAAAATAAGAGTAATATTACTTTAAACGATATATTTTTGACAGTATTTAATACATATAATAATATTGAGAATATATTTGTTTAGCAAAGGATGGCCTTGATTTGGGTTCTATGTCTGACAAAATATCATTGTATTAATTATGAAAAATTTCATATTAAAAAAGCAAACTGATTTTATTTAAAAAAATAGTATTTGATCGTAAAAGTTAAGAGAAACTGTAGTTAATGCACTTTATTGTACGTAACAGCAACCGTTATGTTGCAATTTAAAATGTTATAATTAGCATGTGTATAAGTTTCATACTTACATCAACGAATGCCATAAAGGTAGCAAGTGCCACGATAAAGGCTGATGCGAATTTCATCTGTAATATGAACGTTATATTAAATACATGTCTTTATTATAAATAGTAGGGAGCATCTAAATACATTGCAAATGTAAAATAAGAAATCAGTGTTAAGTGCTCATTCAATTTTTACTGATTGTAAATTTACTATTGATTCAAAATTATTATACACTAAGTTTATTTAAATATAATATCAATATAAATGATAAAATAACGCTAGTCAAATCATACTATGCTGTAGCTACTTATACTACCTTTACGGTTGTAGAATGAGATACTTGAAGCTCAAAGTCGAA